AAGACATAAGCATCTGAACAATACAGTACATGTGGGGTTGATGACCTTTGTTCTGTTTTATGAATATTAAAATTTTTGTAACTTTTTCTATCGTTCTCTTTTTGTATAATCCTGTACCAACAGAGAACTGAATCTTTATGATAAAATAAGTAAAAGGAGCTGTAATCACTCCTGTATTCATCACTGTATCCACACTTTTCAAAACCGAATATCCAGCATCATATTTCTGACAGGCAACATCAATGATAAGTGACCCTGGAAATGAAAATTTTAACAAATCTACAGTCATTTTCAATAAATCAGAATGTGTTACAATGAGGCTCATTTGTCAGATTAAAAGAACCTTTTGAAAATAACATTTAAGAAGATATTAAACATACTTTTCATTAAGCCCAATTTCTGTATTGTTTTTTATTGATCTAATAAATATTCTAATTTTAAATGTCATGTTTTTATTACATGTAAGCAGAAAATCATCATGATTAATTTAAATAAAGGCTTGAAAACAGTGTGTAATGTGTTTCACTTGGTGAACTGAGTTACTAAAGTAAATACAATTCTTATTTATTGAATATGACTGTATTGAGAAAGATTCATACTGTCATTGTTGTACGGATTGTGTAATCAACATTGGCTTTTGTCTTTTCTTTATTTCATTCATGTCTGTAATAAAATCCCAGATTGCACATCTCATTTCAGATTTCAGAAACAGTCCAACTAGTGGAACTACAGCTTTACTTTTCCAGTTTTTTTCCTACTGCTGCCACACAAGGAGGGAGGATGAAAGAAATTCCTCCCTGTGCCTGAAGAAGAAGTTCTGCAGGCAGAAGAATTTCTGCAGGCAGAGGGAGAGACAGAAGCCTGTATGTAAATGGATTTATGCTTAACTCCATATACATGCAAGCTTCTGTATGTCTTTTTGAATACTTCATTCCACCTTCTGCTGTTCTTATCTGTGGCTTCATTATAGACATCCTCTACTTCCTTTAAAACAACTTATATGATTTATTTTTTGACAAAACTCTTCTCTTAGTTGCCGTCATATCCAGCAGTTCTTACTTTGAACTTTTTCACCTGTAACTAAAGATTATGAAGTGTAATCACAGTGTCCAGATACTGTGATTCTGCTATGTAGAATAATCCAAAGACACAATTGAGCTCTTTCTCAGTGTCGAACATTTCTTTTCCTTTAAGCTTCACAAAAGCTTGTGATGTTTTCACAGTAAAACATCACCCTTCAAAATAAAACATTTCCAAATCATTTTATATTTTTATTACTCCAATTTTCACTTACAGAAGCATGTAATGATTATGACATGGTCTCTCGCTCTCTGAGGCTGCAATACTTGTCCTTATAATACAAGGCTGAGTGACCTTATGTAAATGAAACATACAAATGCTTTCAGTATGCCAATTTTTATAAGCATTTCATAGAGACCGAACATCCTTTTTTACTGTGCTCTCTAACTGGGACAAGGCGAAGCAGACTGGCTTCACTCCCCACCTTTAAGTGGAATTGTTTTGAATCTTTCTTGCATATTTTAGATGCAGTTTTAAACTCAAAGTTGTCATGTACAATAAGCAATTGTTTCCTGGTATTTGAATATAAAGAGGTTTTGATGGAATTGTTTTCAAATCATCTGGTCTTGCTCTGGGCTGCAAGACCCAGAGCAAGATGCTGTTGTCAGAACTTTTCTCTTACAGCAAGAAGATTGTGGTTTTAAATCCCAGCCGGAGTCTTTCTGCTTGTTCCTTCTGTGCATGCACAAGTTTCCAGTGGATAGTCCTGCTTTCACTCTCGGTTCAAAAATACGCCGTTTGGGTTGTCTCTTTTTGTCCTTATGAGTGAGTTTGTATGTGCCTGGTTTTTTTGTTCTGTAATAGGCTGGAGACCTTTACAGGGAATTGGGTTTATTTGTCTCTTAGGATCTGACAGTAACTGCATTATGCAGTTGCTATCAGTATCACTATGCTTCAGAAGTGTTGCATGTGATTGCGGTTATTAGAAAACCCGGATTCCAAAAAAAGATCAAATAGAAATAAATAATCATCAGTTTCAGAGAAAATTCTGAGAAAAATATTCTGAATCATTTGAAGAAAAATACGACTTAAACTTTTCTATTTAGAGATTTGTTAAAACAGTGCTCTCGACAGACTTTCTTCAGTACACAAAGTGGTGGGAGCCACAGAAGCAGAAACAATAACTCTTCTAATAATTCAGTTTAAGTTTAATGGACCAGTCAGAAGGTAAAATGTAAATCAGTAAAGTCCAGTGACTTCAACTCACTTCACATATCTATGTGACATTTTTTGTTCGAAATAATTTGTTTGAGTTTTATAAAATAAACATTGGTAAGTATGTTGAGAACATTTGTGCCTTTTCATAAATGAGTTTATGAGAAGGTGAAAAACATATTTTAGAATTTGTCAGGATTGTTTTTTACTAGTTCTAACTTCATACTTGTATTCTCAGAAATTCTAAAATAACATTGTTTATCATTTTACTGCTCTGTTGTCAACATAATTCAGTCAACTAAAAAGTGCCCCCATAGCCGAGGTCCAAGTACTGTCATTCACAATATCATTTTGTAGTTTGCCTTTTTTTTTCTTTTTTTGAGAACATATTGACTTGAGCTCAGATCACTAAAATGTTAAGCTTGGACTATTTTTGTCTCTTAGTGATGAAAAATTTAATGCAACATGGTAATACACAAAAGATAAAACTCCAGATTCATAAAATGTACCTAGATTAATTTTAGAGATGGTAAATATTAGGCTATTAAAACTTAAGTGATTTGTCCTGTAGGGTTAGATGACCTATAACCTCTTGACTTGAGAATCAAATACATGGAGGAAAAAATAAATCTTTTCTTCAGCACATAAGATGGGGTGTGAATCTGGAAGATAACTTATTTTTGTCTTTCCTGAACATTAGTCACCATGGGAACAAACTTTGTTCCACAGTTTGTGTTTGCACGAGTTATTCTTTGCACAGTTGGACACCAGAGGGCAAATAAAAAACCAGGCACTGAAAACCTTGAACTATCCTCACTGCTTGAATTCTGTTGTTCTCTTCTCATTCCACTGTTTTCCATCTGCTTTTTAAACGACTACAAGATGCCAGTGAGTTAGTTTATGTAAATAAGTAAATGTTGCTCATAACGACTTTTGATTCTGCTACAAAATGACAGAAAAATAAATGTGTTCATTCAAACATTGTTTTTGTAGGATGTCTATTTTTTGCTGCGCTTCAAAAACAAGAAAATTAAAAGAGACAATGAATCACAAATCAGCCATTCTAAATGAAGCATCTAAAACAATATTTTTAAATGGCCTCCAAATAACATGAAATTGGTAAATCTCAAACCAATTTCCAAGAAAGTCTGTTTGTAGTCATGCATAAAGTGGCTGCTCGGCATGTATAAAATCTAACTTTGCGTCAAAGTTTGCGTAAATATACCTTTACTTTTTTTCTGGTGTGAAAATGTGCGACAATATCAAACTACAAAGCATCAAAATTCACCTAAACACACTGAAATCTGACCAAGAAGCATCAAACCTGATATTGTTCATGACTTTATTATTTTATTGTTTAAACGATGAAACTGAACCGCATTTATCCTCGGACATTGCAGACATTGCACATTGCAGTATTTTGTGTGCTAACACGCACACAAAATAAAGACAATAAAAGTATGTGAAAACCTTGCTTGAATGTAAATAGTAGCCTACTTTTTCTCAGTTTTTATCATAAAGATGTAACGCATTGGTCTGCGTGCCAAAGCGCATGAAATGCATCTATGGGGTCATTTCATTCTCACTAAAAGAAGAAAACAGGGTTAGATCAGCAGATTAACTAAATTAATTAAATTATTTTTAAGGTGATTAAGGTGTGTTTGCAATCACACGTATATAAATAGCTGCATAAAGGTGAGCCGCGTAATTGTGGAGCTTTGGCTCTGATGGAGAACATCTGTTCAGAGATCAGATTGATCTGCTGGGAAATGTTGATGATGGTTTATGAGCATTAGACTGATCAGACTGATCATCTGGAGCAAAAGAGCCGTGCGGTACCGGTACCGGTCTAGCTGCAATCATCCTTCAGTCGAGCCGCCCGCTTTGTGAATGAGCCTTTAAGCACAGAAAGCATCTCTATTCTATAAATAGCCTATACAAGTTCTGCACATGATTCTATTATTTAGAATAAACATGCACATTCCCGATCAAAGCCCTCTGACTCGGTCCGTCTTTAAATCCTGGCTGAACGTTCTGCTGCACCACTCTAGTTTTCATTTGGATTTTTATTCTTTAAAATGTATAATTTTTGTTTTTGTGATGTGACCTTGTGTGCCTCGAAAGCACATTTTAAATAAAATATATAACAACAATAATAATAATAATAATTACTATTATAAATACTGTTACTGCTACAAACAAGGACGTTGCCATGGTTGCTGCTTCACGTGGCGACACGGTGGACATCAGCATCCAAATTTGTCAGTGCGTCAAGTTTTAGTGTGAAATCTGCGCGCTCTGACTGCTGCCTGGAGAAAATCAGAGGTGATTTTCCCTGACTGCTGGTTTAAACCCAGTTTATGCCACAAGGGGGCATTGTGTATTTGTCAGTAGAACTTGGTGGGCTCTATTGTTGTCAAGAGGCTTTATGGAGCAAATTTTATTTGCTAAATAAAATTTAGCAAATTTATTGAGCTAAATTTATTTTGCTAAATTTGCTAAATAAATTTGCTAAAATAAATTTGTGCTGACATCCCGAATTTTTCTTCTTTACAGGTTGTCTGTGGTGGAGCTCTGGACCACAGCAAGGCTGTGTCAAATGGCTTGTAGCAAAACAATAAAAATAACAATAGTAAAGAAATGAAGGAACTAAATAAAGAAATAAAAAGGTTGTCCAACATTACATAATTTCATGTGATTAAGCACAGGATTGCTGTGAATTAGTCATAAATAATTAATTGTTTTTAAGAAATGAGATTAATAAATGAGTTAAAAATGTTTTTATTTGGGTTGTCAATTGATGAAAATAGGATTAACAGTACAAACATGGTGGCATTTTTAATGTCTTTGATGCTTTTGTGTTTATCACTGCTCATGTTTTTATTTGCTCATAGCAGTTGAGTGTTGCTTCAGTCATGGAGTCATAAGTAAAATGATGCTGTGTTGTCAACAACAAGAAAATGATTTAGTTTCTCCCTGGAGTCTGAGTGCTTGCTGTGCTGCAGAGCCAGAGCAGCAGCACAGGATGGACAGGAACGAGATAAACTTTGGAAGAAACAGAGATTAGCCCCTGTAGAAATAGCTGAAACAGAGAGAAATGTGAAACTGATGATGTCCACAAAGTTTGGAAATTTCTTCAATTAATTGCTAAAAAAGATTAAAGAATGAAGGGTTAACATGTTAATTTTGACAGCCCTAAAAAGAAATGAACTAAATCATCCAAAATCTTTCACCGTCTTGCAATGATTCTACTATTTGTATAGATCGTTAGGTTACTATATATATGTATGAACTGACTATTATTTTTATATATACTTATAATTATTCTTTTCACCTATACAAGAACTTTAAGTAGGTTTCAAGACCAAATTAATTAAAAATTGAATTTGGGGGAAATTATTATGAAATTACTATTGTTGACATTCATCGCACATTAGACTAATTTTATTGACTTGTGAACCTGTTGCTTTATTTTGTTCTTTGTAAAGGGATAAAGTGATAATATTTAGCTAAATATAACCATTTAGCAAAATAAACTCGTCCAGCTGCCCTCAATGTAATAATGACTCCATGTTGTTTTCAAAATCAGATCTTTTTCCTCTCTCCATTTCTCAACACAGCTGCAAAACTTTGGTAGGTAGTTTTTGTTCCTGAAAATCATTGCAGGTAAACTTTACATCACAAACGATTTTTTCCAAGAAATAAATCTGTCTCACCCATTTCCACTTGCACACCAGCAACAGGTTTTGCCAGGTGTAAAGGCAGCAAAGTGACAAGAGATCAGAGTATGCAGGTTCACACAAAGATAAAAATATTAAGATATACAATAAGGAACTAAATTAACCATAATATAATATCAGTAAGAACAAGATTATTAAAAAAAATATTGCGCTTAAATCAGCATCAAATCAGAAATATCACTTAATGAGTTCCCTTAACAACAGATTTTTGTTAAGGGAACTCATTAAGTTAAATAATGAACATTCATTTATTTAAAAGCTAGGCCTTTACATAACTGGTATTCATGTTTTTATGCACAGTTAAATGTTTTCAAATTAATTATGAAACTTTACAGTTTCAATGTTTTAACGTCTTCAGTGTTTTAATATTTCCTTCATGTGAATCCTCTTCTAACTGACAGCTCTCTCACTCTTGCTTTTTGGAGCGTCCCCTGAATGTGTCCATAAGATTGAAGGCTCCCAGATACTGACCCAGCAGAATGCCCTGCTTCATGGGCAGGATGCTGTTAAGAGAAATACAAAGAAATGATTAAAGTGCTGAAAGATTGTGAATGTTAAAGCACCGGATTCATTTCCCCCCAATACACGGAGTCAAGAAAAAGTTCTTTATCCCTTACAGTTTCAAAACCAACAGTGACCTCCCTCCAAAAACACAAAGATTCACAATTACCAATAAATATCTTAATGACCCCCAAGTCATTTGGAAGATATTTTTATATTGACTGAACAAAAGTGACATTTTTAGAAGATGTGTATGTAGACGGACAGAAGTGACTAAATAAACCAGAAGAAGGATCTTTATAAACACATTTATGTATCCTCCTTGAAAGTATTGCAGCTAGTAGTTTCAGATTAACCCGAGTAGGCATTGTATGTAGCTACATGAGAGAGCAGCAGTTATCTATAAAAAAATAAAATAAAATAACATATATGTTGTAAAAAGGAAAATACAGATTTGAATGTCCCAAACTATGGGGAAATTGAACCATCTATCCTGTGTGCCTAACTCTATTTTTTTTTACTGGCTAATGTGAAAACACAGTTTGTACTAGGTTGTGATTAGGGTTTTTTGTACATACACAGACAGAAACACCACATGTCCAATGTGATGTTTCAGGGCGAAAACCAATTGGCAGTTTGTCAGGATTCACACAAGCTATTTTTATGTGAAAAAGGTTCTACAAATAATATTTGTCATCTATTATTTGTTGTGTCAGAATTATGCTTGTTCCTGCCCAAATCAATGCTTGTTAACAGCTTTTGAATGACTAATAAACCTCAACAACAATGACTGTATTCAAAAACGGAGGAAACAAAGGCAAGAGAATACAAAACATTGTTAGAAGCCTAAATACAATAGCTTCCATGTAAAAGAAAAGATGTGACAGGCAAAGTGTTTTCAAGAGACACAAATCTTTACAATAAGAAATAATCACTCTTCATAGAAATGAGGAAACAAGAGAGAAGTTGCCTGTGCCTTTGAAGTGCTATCCTGGTCACATGACTACGAGTGGGGAAATCAACTTTCTAACCGAGATATTTCATAATCAGCATTTGGCAGAGCCTCTTCACTGTTTTTGTTTGTTTGTTTATACATGGACAGTCTGACAGTAATCTTTTTCTTCAATAACATTAGCCAGAAAGTTTATCTGTGAGAAGCTGGGAAAATCTTAGATTTTTAGCAACGTGCTTTGACAGGTAGTTTGGTACAAAGTAACGTATCACTGATGTCGGACCACTTTTTTCAGTAAGCATAATCTAACGTGTTGCTATTTCAAATCCAGTAGTCAGACTACAGTTACTTATCAAAATCACTTTGCGTTTCTATTTTCTTTTGTTATTTAATTGTATTCCTTCTATGCGTCTTGACAAGTGACCGACGTCTTTATGAGACAATATCAGCGACAGAAATGGAAACAATGAAGGGAGGATGGAGCTGTGCAGTTGTTGATGGAAAAATAGGAACTATTTTGAATTTCTTGGGGGTTTTTTAAGTTGCTTACAAATTCAATGAGTCGCAGGTTGTGCCTTTTTGGGCTCATTTTTTAATGTGAATTTACTCATTTGGGCTTGGAAATAAGCAGAGACTCATAATAAATCCTGGAATCCTGTCCCTCATTAAGGTAGTTTCAGTCAGACTCTCCCTGTCCATTATTTCCCGGATGATCTGTCCCACTGTGTCTTTGTTAATGTTAAGTTAATATAATACTTCTGAATTACATTAAACTATCCAGAAAATTGGAAACATCAAGACTAATCTGAACAGCACAATAAACGTGAAAACAGCCACGAATGAACGAGTTCGTAAAGTTGTGCAACTAAATGTCATTATCATTATTAATATTAATATGTGTCACTAATCTGTGCAGCCATCTGAGTTGTGGAGCGGCAGGAGGAGCTCTGTGTGCTGCACTCTGACACCAAACACAGGGCCGTAACGCACAAACTGGAGGCTGGGGTAAAGTTGGGGGCTTTAAAATCCTTCTTTGAGTTTTCCAGACAACAGTGGGACACACAAAAACACACACAAATTACTAACGTTTTTTAGGACTGTTGTAACCATTAAACAATCTCCCTCTCAGTTCATCCTTATAAGCGGAGACACATTGTTGATGTTACCATTATAAAATAACTTGCAATTAAGTATTGGCAAAGATCAATGTGATTTTCACAGGTAGCTGTTAACTGTGTTTGGAGACACGTTGGTCTGACTTCTTTTGAATGCAAATAGTTTTTGCTGGGGGGCATGGCCATGTCAAAGTCAGAGATGACGCCGTTGACATTTATTTGGCTTTAAATTTCACTACACCAAAATCACTATGATTGATCCAAGTCCAAACCCCAACAGGAATGCATTCCAATATTTTCAGAGTGGTTAAATTAGCCTCAAGCAATACTTTGTCCAACAAACTTAAAATTTGTTACACATATGTATCTTGACAGGAATTTTTTTTAAAAAAAAGTCTCTCAGAGCTACGATCCAAACCCAACAGGAAGTCAGCCATTTTGGATCAAAGTTGCTATTTTTTCTTTAACTGCTTTATACCCAAGTGAACTTCTGCCACACCTTTTGACATACTGACTTCAAAATCACTGAGCACAGTTGCTGAGGCATTGAAGGTTCAACACTTATCAAAATTGTTTTCCTACATTAAAGCATGTGGGCATGGCCAAACCTCAAATCTGAACATTCGCCATTAAAACTTCCACAAATCAGCTCCCATCTGCCTGAGACTTTATGTCTGTCATAACCAACCAGCACTGATCACACTGACATGGTCAACTGGTGACATCACATTAGCCCCAGCGCCTTTCAACAAAACCCACCTTTGCTGCTTGTAGCCTTTTTTTAAATTTATTTTTCCAGATCAGTTTTTTCTTAGACTTTGTAGTATTAATTAGAGCAGAATGTTTGCTTCTAGTGTAAGAGGGAACAGCATAAACTCACTTCTTCAGAGCAGTGATGAAATACATGCTTTTAGGCATTAGAAGGTAGAGTTGGTCTGTGAGGACAGCATGAATAATCTTCTTGGCTGCCTTCTCTGCATTTAGGATTGGCAGGAGTCTTGGCCACCTGTTGACAACAAACAAGGTAAGAGAAAAATGAGATGACAACCACAGTCTAATCCAAGCAAAAAATATTGTTACTATGTAACATTTTATGTAACAACACTTTCTCAAATTAAAGCAGGGATAGTCTTTCCTGAAGACTGAACTTCAGTTTTGTTAAGCAACATTACAAAATGTTCCATACATGTTTTGCAACGTGTTAAACAAGTAGTTTAAAACAACAAGCAAGGTTTTGAGCTACTCATTTAATATTTTGAACAAGTAGCATTTATTCAGTTAGAGCAGGGGTGCTCAAGTCCAGTCCTCGAGAGCTACCATCCTGCAACTATCAGATGCATCCCTGCTCCAACACACCTGAATCAAATGAATGACTCGTTACCAGGCCTGCTCATAGCTGAGCCTGGTCTACTGGAGTAAGGCTGCAACTAAAAGTTGCAGGATGGTAGCTCTCGAGGACTGGACTTGAGTTAGAGCAAGAACTACTCAAGTGAGAAATTTAGCTGCCTGCTGAAACCAACATGCACATCTTGTTCTTCTGCTCAGTGATATGTCTTTCCATTCACCTACAGCACAGTTGCTGCAACTAACAGCAAAACACAGCTGAAGCCAACCTCAAAATTATCCTCAGACAATCCAAACAGGGACATACAAGTTTCTGTCTTTTGCGTTCAAGATTCAAATGTCCCAGTTGTGTGTATGTCCAAGAAAGGGTGATGCCTAGTATCTTGGAAGCTTCTCCACTTCTTAACAGGCTATAGAAAAGATGCCGGAAATTTGCACTACAACAAAGTTGGAGTTGCACAGCCATTAACTCCAACTTTAAAAATAGACTAGGAAAACATTAAATTTGACTATTTTCAATTGGCTGGATAAAGTAGCCAATCGAGCCATGTAGCTCAGAAAATAGACGTTGATACTTTTTGTAACATAACCACCATATTTGTGTTCTTTTTATTAAATAAATTAAAAAGTAGAGTAAGTCTGTCGTAGGACGGTTTCAGTAATTTGACTGTTCAATTTTTCTAACTTTCCACTGTTTAAAACTAATTTATGGCAGCCTCATTCTGGTTCTATGTGTGGCTGTGATAGCCACAAAAAAGGTGCGTGGGCGCGCAGCAGCGCAGTGAGAGAGGGAGACGCGTACCATCACGGCTGTACAGCGGGAGGATTGTTGTTATGGATGCACAAAAAACATGACAAAAATGCCAGTCATTTATGTTAAAATTACAGTTTTCTATTTGCTGCCAAAGTTTTGCTTAATCCTCATCTCTGTAACTTTAGTGAAATGTAACCATCTTATTTCAAGACACTGTAAGAGATTAATTCATATATTTCATGAGAAACCCTAAGTGCATGACCATTTCTCAATCATAGAAAATGATTGGAAAATACAGTCAGGCTTAATGTTTGCATCAGCAGACTGCTAGTCAACATGATACTTCTAAAGTGGCTTTAGGGCACTAACAGCTCGCTCCAGTCTTCTGGGAAAACAGGGAGCAGATGCAGAAGCATGTGGCTCTAACACGATGTATCACTCAGTTTGAAACACCACTGCAGTAAAATATGCACTCTCTATTTAACTTTTTAATCATGGTCCGTTATTCGTAGTGTTTGTTTGTAGTCCCATGACAAGCTAAGCTTTTAAGATATCTTTAAACTTCTTATCAAAGCCTTCAGTCACATAAATATAGGCACCTTTCAGTAAGAAAAATGTGAGGCACCCACATCCTACTATTTTCAGTGTGGTGCCCCACATGGCAAACGATGTTGACTCAACATTGAATTAAGGTCATGAAAGTAGATTTTCGGTTAAGGTCAATGATTGATGGTGGATCAATCATCAAATAATAGTCCAATTCGGGCAATTAAAAGACTGGCTAGAAAAGATGTAATTGAATCAATGTTTCACAGTTGATTTCTTCTTAGCACTGGTCCTCAATGCATGCTTCCTTTCTAGTTTTAGGTATTCTGCTGCTTCAGCACACATGATTTTAATTGATGGCTGATTAACAGGGCTTTGCTGAATTCCACTCATCTGAACAGGATGTGCTGAAGCAAGGGAACAGCTAAAACATTCAGGGTAGTTTACCTTGAGGACCAGGATTGGGGAAAAATGTCAATCAATTTTATCTCTCCTCTTAGTCTACAGAAAGACCCACACACCCGCACACAGGCTTTTAGGAACATCCGTTTGCCAAGGTACAGCCCCCTCTGATTTTGTTACTCTCAAAAGTCAAAGTCGCTAACAAATTTTCTGTGACTCCATTTTGGGTCTTGACCACAGGAGGATATCTACAGAGCTGCACTGGTAAGGTTAAGTTGGCTTGATTTTCGATGCTGTTGTTGTTTCATAAAACTTTAACTAAAGTCATATTGTGAGAATCACAAATATAAAAGTTACTTTCATCTCTTTTCTAAACCTAAAATATAACCAGGATATATTTCACAGATTATTTAAGGGCTAGCTATTTTTTTTATTATTTATTTACTTATTTATTTACTTACTTACTTATTTATTTAATGTTGTGATTTTTTTTAAACTCACAAGAAGGCATGAGTCTTTAGGTTTAGCATAATGACTTCCTGTAAAAGAGACATTTCCAGCTAAATCAGCTTTTGGGAACATTAAAGTTTTACTATTGATGAAGAAAGCTTTAATGATAATTAAAAATAACAGACTGAACTTAATGAAAGTTGTCCACTCAAACTGTTTCAAGCTCTTATTCATATACACTCATTGTACAAATAGCAACTGTACTTATAACTATGGGCTTTTATATGTCAGGATATAACAATGGTTGATCTTCAGCAGGTTCTAACATTTTTAAGTCTAACTGTGCAAAACATCCACCAAATTCAAGACTTTCAATATTTCTTAAATTAAATCTTTAAAAAGATTCCTTCTCACTGCCTTGCTTTTTCTTATTGTAGGAAGGAAGTAGCAGCCATTAACTGCTTAGATGTAGCACCTAGTATAGCAACCACACATCAGGAAATGTGACCAGATGTTTGAACAGTCTGGTGGTTTAAAGGTTTGTTCTGAAATAATACTAAGATGGAGAAATACAAGCAAGAGAAGCATCTGTTCTGATGACGCTGTTAATTTCAGTCTCTATTACAGCTTTTTGTGAGAAATCTGCAGTGTTTCCTGCTCACTTAAAAATAACTCAATCTCAAAAAAAAAAATTATTTTCATAACATCTGGATATAGCCAGGAGTTAAAACACAATGTAAAAAATAAAGCTGATAATGATTCATTTCTGGTAAGAATTAATGCATGCTGTTTATCCCACCAAGCCCCTCTCCTCCTCCTCATTGAGCTCTTGGTCGGACAATTTTATTACAGGGTGGGGGTTTATTATGTTTTGAATAAAGCACTATATGCAGAGGACAGTGGGTTATGATTCATTTCAGTACATTCTCTCTGTCTGTAACAGGGCAGTGCAGAGACCTTTGGAGGGGTAGGGGCTCAAAGTTAAAACACTGCAACAACCCATATTAATCAAAAATTGAATTGCGTCATACTATATCATTGCAATCGTGGGGAAATCCAAAGCAAATGTAGTATATTTTTCATGATGGGTATAAAGTTTCTGCTGCTGACAGTCCTGGAGGACTGAGTTGATCTGAGACTGTAGCTGTTAAACACACCAGAGGAGAGAAGGTCAAAGGTCAAGAAATTATAAAATAAGTACATTTGCTTAATTAATTTGCTGAAAGTATTTTTGCTGATGTTTATTTTGTGAACTCCAATTACTGTGGGCCAAATCCTCCTTCAGAAGTTTCTCCGCAGCCAAAGCTTTTCTGTGCTTAGGGGACAGGCAGGTTTCGTCCCGTTATTGCGAGGACAATTATGAAAACATAAATAGAAACACTTTTTCTAATGCCAACACCAGACCTACGTTTTTTATTCATAAGCCAGTGTAAGAAAAAATATTCTTGTGTGTAATTTTGAAAAAGAAAAAAAAAAAAACCCAAAAAGGGCACTAGTGGCATCAAGGATAAAAAGGCATGTGTTCAAGCCCCCATCACCCCTCTCTGCACGTGTCCTGTCTGCAAATATTATCACTGACTGTGCACAATGTGTTGACACAAAAACATCTAGAAAGTCCCCTCCCCCTTTTTACACTGGTGATGAACCACACAACCACTTTTGCAGTAAGTTTGGTGATATTACTTTTATCTTAATTGTGTTTATTGAAAAATGACTGCATTGTTTTGTGCCTGTGCTGCAGCTTGATAGGTAAATGTGATTATACAGTATATACCAGGGGTGTCAAACTCCAGTTCTTAAGGGCTGGTGTCCTGCAACTTTTAGATGCGCCTCTTCTGCACCAGATGAATAGAATAATTAGGTCATTAAGGCTCTGGAGAACTGATCTACACCAGGAGGAGGAAATTAAGCCATTTCATTCCAGTGTTTTGTACCTGTAGCACATCTAAAAATTGAAGAACAGCGGCCCTTGAGGACTGGAGTTTGATACCTGTGATATATGCTAACTACCATTAGGATAAATAATTCATGAATATTCATTAGCATGTCCTTATTAATTTAGCTGGGAGTGTACAAGTGTAACCATACAGTTTCTGTTTGTTCTCACAATCAGCACACTATTTATTTAATTTCATATCTTGTTTATCATTTTTCTAACTGGCGCCTTCCTCACTCTTATTTTTGTGTTTTTCAGCGGCTGCTCAGCAGTTTGAGTCAAAGTTGACTGACAGGAACTGCAGTGAAACTGTCAAGACGTTTATGTGAGTAAGAGTCAGCAGAAGAAAAAGAAATTAGGATAGGTTAAAAATACTGGGGGACATAATCGATATACTCATTGACAAAAGACAACAGGACCTGCATGAAATTGTTGTGTTTTCTTAATTTCTAGTTGTAGAGCGATGATGTGATTTTCAAGTTATTTCATAGATCAGTATTGCAAAGTATATACTATAAATTCTTACCCATGTTCGATAAAAAATACAAAGCATTGGTGTTATAATCCATTCTCCAAGGAGTGTTTTAAATTCCCCCTGTTTCATCTCAGCTGTTGATTTATCACATTGGCTATGCATAACTTGATAACATACTGAGGAAGAAATTAAATTTTTTGATCCAATATGTTCAAACAAGCAAGATACCCTAAAGACTTCATCTTTTATGTTTGTAAGTGCATTCACTTTTTAATTAATTCTTAAAACTGTCCTGTGAGTTGTTTGCCATTTGCTTTGCCTTTTAAACTGTTACAGCACATAAAAAAAAAACAAATAGTATGGATGAATAACCAAATCAAGCTTTCTACAGTCATAGAAACAAAATAAACCCTAAAAGGCAGTTAAAACAAAATTTCCTCTAAAATAAAATCCTGATTCCTTTGTCAGCATTAGCTGACAAAATTATGAACCATGTAAATTACAGACATGTCCAAGTTTGGCTACTTAACATAGAAAATGTAAAAGGCATCCTTAGCTCATCTCTGCCTAATATCACCCATCAACAACAAAATCAGAGTTGAAAGATTTCATATCTGGAAAATTGAACTACCAAGTGTGTGTGCTCCTAGGATTTTGTCCCAAGCCCCAAACTATATCTTGTTATAAAACACCTGCAAAAACTTTTATTCAAACCGATTTTAAAGCAGAAGGACCTACTTGGTGTGACATCCATCAAACATCCCAGTGTTGATAAAATAGGGGCACACAATGGTGGTTTTGATTCCATCTTTTCCTGTTGCTAGAAGCTCCAGGCCTACCGACTCAGCAAAACCCACAGCTGCAAACTTACTGGCACAATAGTCTGGAAATCAACACACACAAAAAGTCAACAAAAGTACAGTCTAGTTTCATCAAATATTTAAGAAAGTGCTATTCATTGTATTAATGACTCAAAAACAAACATGATTTTTATTTATGATAAATACAAATAAATGATTTTTTTAATCACTGTATTCAGATCAAAGTCTGAATGCAGTTATGTGAAAAGATATACATCAACACCTTTCAATAGCCATTTATTAGCTTGTTCATGTAGTATTTTCACAAGATGTTTTACATTTGTTTTGAGATTGACATGAACATTTCACAACAAAACACATTTATCTATGAGACACAAAAGGGATCTGATTGGTGAATGATATGTAGGCTGAATATTCTCAAATTATTTGAAGACAGTTACTTTAGGGTATTTAACCTTCTTAATTTGAAGAAGTTAATGAGAAAGTTTAGCAAACACTATCAAACATTGTACTAGCATTTAGGTTTCTGCTCATTCTAACTTAAATTATTAGACACATAATATGCCATATAGTTAGAAAAATAAAAAATGATACATCTTTATAAAGCATACTGGTTTGAAATGTATTATGGATAACAATTCCACTCATTTTGATTTTATGGATTTAATTTTTAGATTAGGTTAGCAAAGAGATTAGGTTTCCATTCAGTTGGGTGCCCAAGTAAATAAAATTGAAGTAGACTATATATTCTGTCTCCCTCCAATATTCTGGTGTTCTCAATCAATCCATGATATGAGAAAATAGGACACTGTAAAATAAGACTCATCACCATATCATGATGCTTGAAACACCATGCTTCATCACATCATCTTCACGGTGTACTGTGACTTGAATTCAGTATTTGCAGGACATTAGTTCACAAAATAATACACAATATTTGTTGAGGCCAGTCATTGTTTTCTTTAGCAAGTTGTAGCTGCTCTACTGATCTGGCCTGAATTAATCTAAAACAAGATTTACTTTGCTCAGATAAGAGGTTTAGTATGAGGTGAATCACTGATAATCATTCATTATTGCTCACTATAATCTTTGACTTTCAATTATTTTTATTTAATACACTTTTTTATTGATTTGTCTGACTATCATCTTTCTCAAATAAGCAAAGTGGGTTTATATGTGAATGTTTAAATGTTCAAATGTTTTACATCCAGCTTCACCCAAATCACAGATTTTTGGTCATACATTTTACCGAAAAAGAACTCTATGGACAATTTTAACCCAAGTATTTCAGAGAAGGCGTTGGCCAATGACAACTACGGTCCTTGGAGGAACAAAGGTACTTTGAACTTGCTGGTCAAGTGCTCCTCTATCTCACCACCACAATCAATACCTACATCAGGCACAATGTTGTCTTTTAATACTTTTGACAGAAATTTAATTGAGTTTCTTAGTTTACAATATTTTTCACCTTTGATTTATTCTCTTCAAGTCAAACTCAAGTTTGAGGAAATAAGAAGTCAGTTCCCTGCTGTGCATCCCCATTAACAAGGGAATACATACCAGGGAATATGGAGGGTGGATATGCTAGAATCGGTGTTGGAACGAATGATATTTGAGCAAGTTGGGCCTTTCTGACATGGCAGGCCTACAGTCATGACAAAGAGCAAGTCTCACATGCTTGATGATGCATGATCCTAGGACCAGCCCCGCTTTATCACGTCAATTGTACGACCGAAAGAGGACACACCTGCTAATCCATTTACTCCAATGAGTCCAGCAGAGCTGGCAATGCTGACCAGATGGCCATGGTTATTGGCGATCATGGCAGGTAGAAAGGCCTTGTAGGTCTGAGAGAAGGAATACAAATAAGAAAAAATAAAAATAAAATGCACAACTGTTATTAGTAAAAAAAACTAATACATGAAAAATGGAAAATGTACAAACTACAATATAAAAAATTTTCAACCACATTTCACAAAAGACTTTGTAAGATCATCAAACTGATCCTATGATTAACAGAATCATCTTTTATAACATTCCTCATAATAGACATGTCTGTCTGTCTATCAACTTAAAATTTCTGTTTGTGATACTTAACCCAATTACTTCAAAACAGTATATATTTCATTATATTTTTCACCCATGGAAGTTGCTATTTTTACCCTTGTGCAATGCATGCTGGGTTGATAATGCCGTTTGGTCCAACAACACCTGCTTAGCGTCTTTGGTCCGTAAGTAAACACAGGGAGGCTAACGTTACAACTGTTGCTTTCATCTTATTGTATTTGACTAGTGTAAATTTAGATTATGGCATCACTGTTGGCTGTAATTTTAAATAAAAGACAAAAAATAAAAACAGAAACAGTGAGGTGAGTCTTCATCATCTCCAAAATGAAGAAAATAAAGAAGAGAGCAATGGGAAAGAGCTGTTGGAAGAACAAAACTTCAGTGAGTCATTTGTACAAGCAAAACTGATGGTTGTAACAGGTCACTAGCCTGCATGCTATAATCAAATACCGTGACAGTAGTTTTTATCCACAATGCACCTAAGCCCTGCCGCTGACTAGATATCAAAAGACGCTGGGAGAAACATCAGAGACAGGCAGCGCTGGAAGCTCTTTTAAATGATAATGGAGATATTGCAACTGGTCCCAGTACTAAATGGGAAACCACAGACCCAAGACCACACAAAGACCAGACCCAAAACAGGAGTTACTGGACCAAAGACTGGAACAGACACAAAGGTGAATAATTATGTTGTTTGTGCTTGGGATGCTGATTCAGATTCCATCACCCATGAGGGCCAATCACTGCCCATCACCTGGATTGGAGGTTGATTTTTTGCGTTGGGTATAAACAATACTATGTGACCTACCAAAATGGGAAAATGATCTGGCAATAAATTCACCCAATTCAGACATAAAACATGCAAAATACTTGCAGGCACAATACACCAAAGGAGATTATTTTCCCCAGAGACTTACTGTCTTATGTTTGGACATAGCAAAAGTTCTAATACATATGCAAAATTTGTTTTTGTTTGTTTTAGTAACATACTGCAGCTTTAAGCAGACATTCAGTGTAAGAGTTCACTGCCAGGTGAAGGTTGAGTGGCGCTACATCTGTGAAACAGGAGTAGAATCCAAGATCTTACACTGCTGGTCATCTAGCTCGAAGACTGAAATTATTTTTGGGGGTTATTTGCTTAGCTTTCTGGCCATGAGGCTAATACGAGTGAATGTTAGCAATTGTGTGCTGCTTTACCTGCCGTCTGGCTGCTCCAGATGTGTTTTTATTTTTTCTGATATAACCATATTCCCCCAAGTGCTTGTTTTTAAAGTGTCATTAGATTCATTCTGTTGATGCATTTTGAAGTGCTTCACCCCAGAGGTATTTTTCCATCTCAACACTTAAACTTCCCCATTCACACTCAGAGTTGGATGTCCACACCATTTGCTTAGGATTTGTTGCATGCGCAGTGTGAAGGAAAGAGGAGATCAGCTGCACATGCAGTGAGATATGTGTGATCGATTTTGGTGATTGGCAACAAGAGCCAGTGATCGGCAATCATATACTTTTTCACGGATATCGGCCAATTATGATTGGTAGCCAATCAATGGGCACATCTCTAGTTTGTGCAGTTTTAGTCAGGAAATGTGTTACTATAATGTTCCAGGGCATTTTGACCTGAAAAGGACGTTATTCAATAAAGGTAATTTGGATCCAAATAATTAGAAAGGAGTTTATGTCTGGATAGATAAGGAAATAACTCAAAGTGCTGTAAGAAGTCACATGGTCTGTTTGAAACAGCTCAACTGTGGACTGGAAGAATCCATAGACTAAGAAATGAGCCAAGAAAACTACTTATGTCGAAGGAAAGACTTCCACTGATCAAAACGTCAATTTACACACCAATAGATAAGAAATCCTTGAAAAGGTTCAGCAACCATTGAAAGTGGGTGATGTGGAGAGATTTAGGACATTTTGTAAGCTCTTCAGAGGTCTGCTGCAGCTGTTGAATTAGTAATGTGTATGCAGACTAGATAAATCCCCTCCCAGCTGCACTGATCAGAATACAGAAGATTTGAGTCCCGCATGATTTTTCATTCTATCAGTTTGCCAATTTTGACTTCCCAACAAATGTCAACTATTTACTGGATCACCCTATCCATCCAGCGGTACATGTCTTTCATTGTTTCGTTTATGAAGCTGAAGGTGGCAGCAGCAGCAAACACAAGCTTCTTCTGCCAACTCTTTCCGCTTCCTCCATTTGGTCCTCCTCATCTTCATTATCTCCAGTGATTTCTACATTCCCATCAATTTCAGCGCAGTCTAGTTCAAATTGAAAAGGTCTAATCCTGTTATTTAATGTCTTTGTGGCTGGACAGAGCTAGAATAGTTGGACCGAGCAAACATAATTTATCCAAAATGCATTACAGCGTCCATGCGGCATTTTATGTACATTTATAAAACCCAAACAGCCAAAAGCACTTTTTCTGCATTGTTTCTGAAATAAAATTTATTGTTGCAACTAATCATGCTGTAAATCAGTATTTTGACTAACCCAGAAGTGAGCCATAGTGTTGACCTCCATGGTTTTCTCAATCAGAGAGTCTGGAGCATCCATAAATTTCTTCCCCGTCACAATCCCGGCATTGTTCACCAAGATGCTGACATCACCCACTTCTCTCTTAACCTGCAAGGAGAATAGAAGTATTTCAAGAAAAAATAAATAAATAAAAATCACTTGCTTGTATAAACTTAGTGGCCCCAGAACCTAAGAGAATGACTGGGCCAAGTAGGCTTGGCCCAGTCATCCAAGTCATCCAAGCCACTTACAGGCATTCAACAGATACTCTCCATTTTAATTGCAGAATTTCACCACCTGATCTTTTCAAAATCAAAACTTATTTAATTTAATTCCAAGTGTACAAAATCCCACAACATATTCTACAAAATTCAAAATATTTATCAGATAAAGAATTAACATCATTGCAGATTCAAGTAGTGTTTAGATTCTACTTATCAAGGAGTTGATTGGTTGATTATCAGGAGGTGTGAACATTTCATTGAAACAGGAGTTTTGGCAGTTGGCATGCAAGCGTTTTAACACAGTGTCGTCATGGAAAGAAATCAGTGATGATCAGTAACTGTTGCTGCCTCCAAACAGTCCAAGCTCCACTATTCTACTTTACTATGAGAAACAGTTTTCCCTAATAACAAAAGTCTAAGAAAGCAGCCTTTTCTTGAGGCAAATGAGGCCATCTTACCTCAAGGACAGTCCACGTCTAAATACTACTCGGTTGAACGTGTAAAAACTAAGACTTACCTGATCAGCCACTCTGTAAACTTCATTCTTGTTACTGCAATCACAGACGAAGCAGTGGACTCTGCTGGCTCCACCATTTTTGGCCAATCTTGCAGTTTCTTTTATGCCCTCCTGGTTAATGTCCCACAGAACCAGCACGGTACCATGAGCCGCAAACTCCTGAGCCATCAGGCGACCAATTCCACTGCCAGCGCCTGTGATCAGAACAACCTCCCCAGCTATGTTCTTTTTCTTCCTGGGAACCAAGAGGTGAATGAAAGACTCTATGTTGTACCATAAAGAGAGAAGGAGGACCTGGATTGATTCCAGAAAGAAATTCATGATGAGTCTGTAGAAAAAAAGAAGAAAAAACAAATTAAAAATAAGTACAATAAGGTATTGATTTGATTTCTTATGTGGTAATATTTTGTTACAATTATATTCTATTTTATCTAAGTCCTTCTTATTTGTTAAATAGATGCTCATTACCTGGCCTTACCTATTCACTGTTTTTCAGGTGATCTCAAAAAGCACTCCATTAAAGTGTTTTGTTCACCTTAGTTGGTTGTTGTTAAGCACTATATAAATCAATTTTGGTGAATCTGGATGCAAAACCCAGAATGGATTGAATTAGAATTTTACTTGTCTTGTCACACTGCCTACTGAAAGCACTTTACAAAAGAGCTACATTCACCAAGCTGCACCCATGAAAGTGCATGCATTCTTATACCAATACACAGATGAGTGGGCAACTTGGGGTGAAGTGCCTGGCCTTAGGGGAACATGGACAAGTGGCAGGAAGAAACTAGAATCAAACCCACAACGTTTGGATTGCAAGACAACTACAGTACCAAATTTTTCAGATTAAAAGAACCTTTTGCATGTGTATGCTAGCACTTTGAAATGTCTTGCTGCTGAAATGTGCTATACAAATAAAATTTGATTGAATGATTGATGCGATTTTGAAAATAACCTTTAAGCAGGTAGTAAACATGCTTTTCATTAAGCCCACATTTCTGTTTTTAAAAATAGTTTATTAATCTGATCTAATATTTTAATTTTAATGTCATGTTTTTATGAATTATACATGAAAAATCATTAGCAGAAGAAAAGGTTTTCTGCGTTCCTTAAATTAATATAATATTCTCGTTTATTGAATGGGTCTGTCCTCTATTCACTGAACTCGTCACCAGAATAAAAGTAAAAAAAGCAATGAGATTTTCTTAGTCTCTATGCTAACATAACATGCCTTTTGCAGAAGAGGATTACTCAGCTCATCAAGCTGACCTCAGCAATATTACAATTCTGCAGTAGAAAGATAAGATGGGAGTGTGATTTTCCTAAAGGACAATTTTTTCCAACAACCGTAAAACAAAAGACTGATATGCAAGTGTGAGAGTTAAATTTACAGATGGAATTAATTAAATTCTCCTCTGTACTCCTTCTTAGTGCTCACAAAGACTTTACTTCATCTAAGCCATCTCGCCTCTGAGTCCCCAGAGAATCCACCACTCTGCATTTACAGGTCAGAGACCGGGTTCCAGAAAGTAGCTTTACACCCGTCTTACCCCAGAAGGTGTCTGGCCCCCCAACACTACAAAACAGAACAGTACCTGTTCGGATCACTAAAGAAAATCTACAAATAAGAGAAATAGAATATCTCACAGTCTGAAATCAAATCTCACACTCATCCTGTCTAAAGCTTATACTGGCTCTGCTAAGTAGAATATTATTATCTGCAAAAGGTCTGTTAGTAAATTACTTCATTACTGAGCATATTATTGATGTTCTGTTCCTCACAGAAACTAGACTGGATGACAATACTGAATCGCCTGAACTAACTGAATCAAAATAGAAAACATAAAAGAGGAAGTAGGGGGTATGGCCTCAATATTTAAGATTTATTTAATGAAATCTTTTTATGTCATTTTACATCTTTTGAAAATTATATATATATGTATATATATTTCAGAATAAGCTGAATCCAGGCTTCTGTTCAAGGCCTGCATGCATATCACGATTTACTTGCTCCACAACACATATTGGACCACCGTTGACATCTGCAGTTTGCTCTCCCTGGCTGTAGTTCCCCCTCAGCCAGACAGCTGTTGGTGCTTCAGGAAACAAACCCAGATGAACTGGTGACAGTATCAATAAAAACATGTGGAATATCATTAGGTAAATCATCTGCGTTTTAATAGTCTGTTTGTGTGAACATATTGAAGGAAACAAAGATAAAATAAAAAAAAAACGGTGCTTGGCAAATATAAAATACAATTGTTTTTCAACTCTGTTCTCCCTTCGTTTTCTTATGATCGTGTGAGCATACTGTCGGCTCCTATTACCGATTAAACTTTAAAATCAATCCATAGATGGTGGCGTCCATTATTTCCATCAACAGAGCGCTAGATGCTCTAGTAGAACAACCAAGAAAACCACTCTGGGTATGCAGCTGGAGACAGGCACCAGCAACTCCTGGATAAGTAAGGAAGGAAGGAAGGAAGGAAGGAAGAAAGGAGGGAGGGAGGGAGGGAGGGAGGGAGGGAGGGAGGGAGGGAAAGAAGGAAGGAAGGAAGGAAGGAAGGAAGGAAGGAAGGAAGGAAGGAAGGAAGGAAGGAAGGAAGGAAGGAAGGAAGGAAGGAAGGAAGGATGGAAGGAAGGAAGGAAGGAAGGAAGGAAGGATGGATGGACAGGTGATTTTTATTGACCGAGACAGTTCATTGGTTGATTTTATTGATGGACTTTAGGCTTATCCAATGAAACCTGCTACACCTCTGATAAGGTTTCGATGCTTTATGTTAGTTTTTATATGTACATATGTATGGTAAACTTATTGTCAGTAAATCGGTTTTCATAGAGTGAAGAATAAATCATATGTTTTGCTTGTACTGATGGGGTTTATGATTGAAAGGAGAAAAAACAGTGGGCAGTAAAAGGTTTCTCTACCAGCCACTGTGGATAATAGAGAAAAATTCCATCTTAAGTTGTGTTTAGTAGTCAGAGTGCTAAATCTCTACTTGGTACATTTGTTGCTTTGAACAACCACTAATTCAATCTCACAACCAGGTACATGCAAACAATTAATTGAAATAGTTCTTACTTTTGATTTATGTCTCCACAAACATTTTTTAGAAAGAATGCTAGTGCAAATGCTATTATTTTTGGCATATTTTATTTTGGGCATTCTTCTAATTGAAGGAAAAGTTTAATTAGTTTTATTTATCCCTTTGTGATAAAGTACACTACCGTTCAAAAGTTTGGGGTCACCCCATTCAGTACTGTAGCTTCTGTGAGGAGCTAAACTGTTTTCAGATGTGTGCACATGGTTGCACAAGGGTTTTCTAAACATCAATTAGCCTTCTGAGCCAATGAGCAATCACATTGTACCATTAGAACACTGGAGTGATAGTTGCTGGAAATGGGCCTCTATACACCTATGTAGATATTGCACCAAAAACCAGACATTTTTAGCTAGAATAGTCATTTACCACATTAGAGCGCTAGATGCTCTAGTAGAACAACCAAGAAAACCACTCTGGGTATTTTCAAGCCCTGTGATTCCATAACTTGCCATACTCCTGGAAAATCTGCAGTACAAAACACTTTTTTTTTCCAAATAGAATTTGTCTTCTGGCTCCTGTCACAGTGCCTCATGTTAAAAGTGTGATTGCTGCTAGCGGCTCTCAGTCTGCGCCTCTGTTGAATCAGGTGACATGCAGTGAGTGCACAGGCAAAGAAATTCTAAATCCTATTGCATGAATACATGGATTGCCTAAGGTTTTTAAATATTTAATGTAAAACAACAAAAAAAAGGCATTTCTTCTTGAGTTTTGTCAGACAACATAGATCCATACACACAAAACATACTTCTAGAGCTGGTTGGGGACCACATGTTTAAAGCTGCACTATGTAACTTTTATTAAAAAATATATATATTTTTTATTTTTTTTACTGTTACCATGTTGTGACACCATGTTATAAGAAAGATAATATGCGAAAAGATCAATTTCCTCCACCTTCTCTCTATGCTACTATTGCCTTCTGAAGAAATGCACTGCTCCTGACCAAAAACAACCAAACAGAGCCAAGAGGAGGAGCTTAATGCTGTCAATCAATGCTGCTCAGCATTGATTGACAGCAAAAGGCAGCAAAAGAACTTATGGTTACAGGAAAATAATTTATTTGCTGCCATCGGTGTCTATGCTAACCGATGTACTCACAACAGGACCTGCTAGCTGCACCCTAGCAGAGAGCAAGGGGCAGGGGTAATTAGCAGAGTGGCATAGGGTGATTGACAGCACTAAAGCCCTCCTGCTGGCTCTGACTGTTTGTGTCTAGTTAGCACTGGGAGCACTGACAGATTTTTTTTTTCCACAGATTATCTGTGAAAAAACGACATGATGAAAATTTTAACAAATATCCATCGATTTTCTTCTGCCTATCCTGCTCGGCCAAACCGTCTCCCAGAGACTGGGGCTTAATAACTATTTTTTTCTCTTTCCATTTTGAGAACAAAGTCCAAATAATGCGAGAAAAACAATTCTAACTATTAAGTTAGAATAGTGCGAGAAATAAGTCAGAATAATGTGAGAATTAAGGAATATATTCAGGGCCGGAAATTTGCACCAACCACTGGCGATAAATGGGTAAAAGTATGAAGTGGCGTGTAAATTGGAGCAACACACCGCCACTGTGGCAGGTTGACAATTTGAACAAAAAAAAAAAAATGCATTCAGTTCGAACTTATGTCCAGGGGAGGACTAATCATCATGGACTAATGCATTTACTGGGATAATTTAAAAACAAAAAATAATTATATTAAATTTAATTTTAATATAATTTAAATTAATTATATGCGACAGACTGGTGACCAGTCCAGGGTGTGCCCCACCTCTCGCACACAGCTGGAGACAGGCACCACCAACTCCTGGATAAGGAAGGAAGGAAGGAAGGAAGGAAGGAAGGAAGGAAGGAAGGAAGGAAGGAAGGAAGGCAGGCAGGCAGGCAGGCAGGCAGGCAGGCAGGCAGGCAGGAAGAAAGGAAGGAAGGAAGGAAGGAAGGAAGGAAGGAAGGAAGGAAGGAAGGAAGGAAGGAAGGAAGGAAGGAAGGAAGGAAGGAAGGAAGGAAGGAAGGAAGGAAGGAAGGAAGGAAGGAAGGAAGGAAGGAAGGAAGGAAGGGTGATTTTTATTGACCGAGACAGTTCATTGGTTGATTTTATTGATGGACTTTAGGCTTATCCAATGAAACCTGCTACACCTCTGATAAGGTTTTGATGCTTTATGTTAGTTTTTATATGTACATATGTATGGTAAACTTATTGTCAGTAAATCGGTTTTCATAGAGTGAAGAATAAATCATATGTTTTGCTTGTACTGATGGGGTTTATGATTGAAAGGAGAAAAAACAGTGGGCAGTAAAAGGTTTCTCTACCAGCCACTGTGGATAATAGAGAAAAATTCCATCTTAAGTTGTGTTTAGTAGTCAGAGTGCTAAATCTCTACTTGGTACATTTGTTGCTTTGAACAACCATTAATTCAATCTCACAACCAGGTACATGCAAACAATTAATTGAAATAGTTCTTACTTTTGATTTATGTCTCCACAAACATTTTTTAGAAAGAATGCTAGTGCAAATGCTATTATTTTTGGCATATTTTATTTTGGACATTCTTCTAATTGAAGGAAAAGTTTAATTAGTTTTATCTATCCCTTTGTGATAAAGTACACTACCGTTCAAAAGTTTGGGGTCACCCCATTCAGTACTGTAGCTTCTGTGAGGAGCTAAACTGTTTTCAGATGTGTGCACATGGTTGCACAAGGGTTTTCTAAACATCAATTAGCCTTCTGAGCCAATGAGCAATCACATTGTACCATTAGAACACTGGAGTGATAGTTGCTGGAAATGGGTCTCTATACACCTATGTAGATATTGCACCAAAAACCAGACATTTTTAGCTAGAATAGTCATTTACCACATTAGCAATGTATAGAGTGTATTTCTTTAAAGTTAGGACTGGTTTAGAGTTATTTTCATTGAAAAGTACAGTGCTTTTAGTGACATTTCAATGTGACCCCAAACTTTTGAACGGTAGTGTATATATTTTTAAATTTGAACACAAGATAGCCTAAAGTGGAGAGGAACACAAAGGAACTAAACTGGTGACGGATTAATTGACGCAATCTTGAGTATGAAACAATCCAATATACATGGCAAATTTTCATAAGTGCAAAATTTTGGGCATGACGAGATCTGGGCTGGAGCAATTGGAATTCAAAAAATAAACATCAGCAAATATACTATGCAATAATTAGAACCACAGCATAAAGCCAAACATGTCACAATTAAATGAATCAAAATGTCTCCAAAGCATCGGGGGGCTGACGTAGGGGCGCCAGGGAATTCCAGGTAGATTCCAGAGATGTGCCTTTGAGCTTTTTGATCTATAAATCAGTCTGCAGCCAAGTTGTTATAGAGGTTAAATAGATATTATTAGGGCTTAATTAGTAAAATGGCAGCAAATTTGCTTATTTCATAACTTCATAACCTTTGACCTTCTCTCCTCTGGTCTGTTTAACAGCTGCAATCTTAGATCAACTCAGTCCTCCAGGACTGTCAGCAACAGAAACATTATACCCATTAAGAAAAATATACTACATTTGCTTTGCATTTCCCCACATGATGGCAATGGAATGATTAATATGGGTTGTTGCTGTGTTGTTGTACAGTGTTTTAAGATCTTGTTCAACATGGCCCGTTTTAACTTTGAGCCTCTGCCCCTCCAAAGGTCTCTGCACGGCCCTGGCTTTACATAACTTTGGGCCACAGTACATTTTAAAGCTTTGTCATGAAATGCTTTAAAAATAAAAACTGTTAAACTAAACACATCCTTCAGTTTACAAGCCTGGAACCCATCTGTGTGTTTTCTAATGGGAGTCCTTTAGAAAATACATGCTGCTACATTCTGAATAATGAGAATGTCCGATAACATGTCCACTTTCAGAGCCTTCCTTCACTAGAGCCGGACATGTTGCTGAAATCAAGCAGGAGGTCTGTGGTGCTTGAAATGATGAACAAACTCAGCTGTTCACTAAGTGTACTACCATGTGGGACAACATGCATGAAAGATCCACTACTGAACCAACTGGAGGAAAAATGGCCACTTTGGATGACGTAAGTGTGTTGTGATGTTATCACAGTGACATCCAGTCATGATAATTGTGACAGTGTTATCATGGAGAGTGAAATATACACGCCCAGCTCCAACTCAGCAGACTGAGTCAGCAGCTGTCAGACTTTGATCAGGTCATTCAGACACAGGGAGTTGACGGGCTTCCAGTCACAACTTCTGCATTATTTGTAAGGACACGTTTAAATACTCAGTACATACAAGTTTATAAGTGATGTAGATTGGCTCCAATACAAGTGGAATACAGTGTTTAATATTAAACGCGCTTAGATAAGTGGATATAAAATCAATTTAGTCTGATTTCCACGGTTGTCGGAAATCAGTTCAGTTCTCCTGGGTTCTGGTTGCTTCCAGAACTTCCGATCAAAGGAACAAATTCAGCAAACAGAACCGCTCAGCGCCGCGTTTTCAGTCTTTCAGTTGCTATGAATAACTAGTTGATGTAAATAAATGGATTTCTGGCAAGAGTACAACTTGATCCTGCAGCTGGAATAAATCAATTACGGAACTTACCTTGGGAACTGAGAGAGTTCAACAAATCCTGCTGTCAGTTCCTCAAATGCAAATAATAAATCAGCGAGGAACTCGACCTTTACTCTCGACATGTCCCAAGATTATTAATCGGACTCTGATCTCAGAAAAGTCAGGCTGATGAAACAAGCAGACTCTTACCTACCGGTGCAGCAGCAGGTCCACTTGGTTCCGTTCTGGGTTCTGTCACGGTACCAACCAGGCGTTTTCTGTAGCCTGGGGCGTAAAAACAATAACTGTCACCACTTAAGCTAAACCAGAGAGGAGGGGCCGGATGTCCGCAAAGCATGGTGGTACTTTGAGTTCAGAAAGAGACTTTATCCTTTCTTTCTTTCTTTCTTTCTTTCTTTCTTTCTTTCTTTCTTTCTTTCTTTCTTTCTTTCTTTCTTTCTTTCTTTCTTTCTTTCTTTCTTTCTTTCTTTCTTTCTTTCTTTCTTTCTTTCTTTCTTTCTTTCTTTCTTTCTTTCTTTCTTTCTTTCCGTTGTTTTTCCTCTAAAGTGATTCATGTAACAAAATGACAATATGATTTTCTTTAGCAACAACACTCTGTGAGCTGTTATTGACACACTGACACAGATCTGAGGTAGAACCTGTTCCTGGTTGTCCAGTAGCTGCAGGTAATCAGTCTCTAACAGAACTTCTTAATAAATACATGAACTCCCATAATGTACAGCAGCTTCCTTTTTATGTTAAACGTACAGTTCACATTTCACACAAAGTTCATCTATCATCAAGCTTTCTGAAACTGATGTACTCTGTATTATGGGTATTATACACAAACATCCCCCTAAAAGTAGTGCTTCTTAACCCTCAAGAAGGAAACCCTCCACAAGCTTCACGGTAAATTTGACCAAATTAGTGTTGAACAAGAACTATTTCTGATACAAAAATTCCATCTTCAGTCTAAAGTTACATTTTTATGACATTGCAGCACAGAATCAGTTTCCTTTCTAGATGAACTTCTTAATAAATCAGATATTCTTAAGACTGCTGTCTATGTATTTATATTACAGTAGTTACTTATCTAGTCTTAAGAAGTGTCTTGCATTCAGCTTCTCAGAGTCAGAGGGTTTTGCAATACAGAAGAAGCTTTTGACATGCAAGCTAAAGAGCTTTAGTCTTGAGAGCCAGTTATGAAAAAAATGTAATGAGGAAGTTAAAACTCTGAACAGAGATGTAGTTTTAGTTCCTAAACCTCCTTCTAAGATTAATCTACAATTCTAAGATTAATCTACAATTCTAAGATTAATCTACAAATCTACAATTCTACAATTAAATTTACAATTGATGATATATAAAACATTTCAGTGAAGTAACTGCTGACCATGTCGAAGTTGTAAAACTGCAAATATACATTTCAGATGTTAAAAGTAGCTTTCCTGTGATGGCAGCCATTTGGAGATGCAAAAAGGACTGTTTACAAAAGGGGGTGCTCTTCTAATGAGCATGGGTGACAATAATTGCTACAATACTGTCCTTGCCATATCAAGGATTCAGAGTCTGTTTTCTCCAGTTAGGGTTACAATGTCCAGAAAAGAAAAAGCACAAAGGACCCTCTTAAAGGGTTTGATTTTAATAACTTGTTTTGGCAGTAGTGACTGAATTGTTTGCTTTGTTCTTAGGTAAAAAAAAAAAAAAAACATTAATAGTTTCTGCTTAAAATTAAATTAAATTGAATTATCATAATTCTAGTAGGCTTTTAGAATCACAAAAAGGGTTATCATTTTCTCATGATCTGACACATGAAGCCTAGGTGTAAATTCAAACTGGAAGTGGAAGACTCTGTTCATCTCACCTGCTCAGCCAAAGATGTTGTCATGCGTCTCGATTCCAACCAATCGGTGATGCTCTCTTCCTCCATCAAGCTCATCAAGCATCGCCTCCGTGATAAGGTCCAGTTGTTCATCTGCTTCCGCTTATTGGTTGAGCTTCAACCTTCCTCTGCCCCTCCTCCGCCTTCAGCTCAAGACTTCTTCAATAACCATTCAGTCTTCAGCATCCCCTCCACCACCAGTGAGGGGCCCAAGGAGGAAAATGTCTCTAATCTTCATACACAGTGGATCATTCTCTCTGACAGCAGATCCTCATGGGTCCGAACACCTAAGACTTTCATTTGTGAATTAAACGTTCTAATACCACTCTCTCTCTTTGTGAGTCTTTCCAGGTTGAATTTACTTTTGATGCTATTAATGCTTCCAGATCGTGAATTTTGTTTGTCCTTTTTTCAAGCAGTGACTGGGAGATTATCTTCATCGCAGTCACACCAAATGTTCAGCTTCCAAATGATTTCTGCATTTGGAGCACAGTACTTGGCTTGGTCTGATTGCAACTTAGGCAATAGTGCCTGATGTGGGAAATTATGTCCACACCAGGACATAATTTCCTGGTGTGGGTTATGAACTTTTGTTTTTCCTAAACAAGAGGACAAGAACAAGAGGTTCAGGAAAAACCTCAAGTGAAGCTTTTTCAGTAGAGGTCTCTGTTCCTTTTGCACCACAGTGTTGCAGCAAAGTCAGTGGTTGGATCTGCAGACTACTAAAATGTGTGCATTGTGTTTTCAAGAAACCTTTTATTTGTGGCTTAAATAGTTTTCACCAGCAATTTGAGAATTCCATACGACCTACGACCCCACTTTGTATGTGAGTGACTTTCGACTGTATTCAAAGTACATGAGTTGAAGACACCACTGAGCAGAAATGTTTCATTGTTGATTTATTTGTCTCAAGGTAATGATTTTTGAATGCTTAATCGTCATACCTGTTTTACATAAGTTTTGGTTGAATATGGTTTGCTACAACCAGAGAAAAACTCCTCACAAAAACAATTGCCTGTGATGACCTCAAAATCATCAAACATGTTTTTTATTACATTTGATCTATATTGTTTTACTTATTTTTGCTATTGATTTTGTTAGAAATCATTCTTTTAGGTTGATTTCTTATGAAATCAAAAGAGGAGTTTGTGGTGTCACACTTTAAAGTTTAAGAACTTTGTGTATGTTGACTCACTTACTGAGAAACAAAACATTGGGGCTTATTTTTTTTACATAGTTAAAAAAAAATAAGCCCCAATGTTTTGTTTCTCAGTAAGTGAGTCAACACACACAAACACACCCTGCAGGCACATATTTACACTGTGCCTGCAGTGTAAATATGGATATGAAGGTAGGCAGTTGCAAAATGTTTTCATATGCTAATGCTGGGCAGGCAGAGGTGACAATAAACTACACAAAGACAAGATGTGCATTTCTGTCACTTTAATGTTTCAGTGTCTTTATCTTAAGATAGAAGAAATTTCCACAACAAGAGGTTATCACTTTAGCTCCTAATCCATGAAGCCCCCATACCTCTTTTTTCTCCCACTTCCATTTTCCCCAGACATGTTTTGAGCTCCACCATTCTTGCTGTAGTCCACAAGCCATTCAGGCCTTCCCACCCGCCTCATGAACCCTCCGTAGCGCTTTTTAAGAGCATGACCCAAAACTGCCTCAAGAAGATTGCCTTTAATCTGGTGGTTAAAGCCTCCATACCTGTTCACTGTCTCCATTTCATCCCTACTTTCCTCCATGTCATGAGCTTTTGTAGCACCAATGATCTTTAAGATTCCCAGTCGAGTGTCCTCTACCTCATTGTGGTTCTCCAGGTTATTCAGTGCCCTCTGGGCAGATGATGAACGACGAGACATGAAACCTCCATAACGTTTCATGAAACCACCATACTTTTTATCAATTTGATGGACAGCCTCCTCAGTCATCATTGCATCCACATCTTCCTGGCTTGGCTGTTGAAGGGGATCAGCATCCACAGAAACACTATCATCACTCGTAGTTAAAAAGTCCTTGCACATGCGAAGCCTCTGAGTGTCCATCACACCTTCACACTCAAGAGAGCATGTCTGGAGGAAAAGGAAACACACTGTTAGAACTTTCACCAGGGTTTCTCCCAACATATTAGAAGGCTGGCGGACTGCCAGGCTTTACTTGCTCAACCCGTCGGGAAAATGTTGCTTGCTTTTGTTTTGATTGAAGCATCTTTTCTGCATTTGGTATTTCACTAGCAGAACAGAATAATTTCTGGAAGTTGGGTTTATAGTTGATGCATTGCACAGGACACAAAGCCAGGAGGGGAACCTAATTATACTGCTTGTGCCTCTGCGCACCGACTTTCCGTAGGTGGGCATACAGGCTCTCCTATATGTGCATTTCTTTTAACGCCACATGAGGACTCGTGTTTCTTTGGAGAATTTTTAATCAAGGTAGGCATTAAGTTTAAAAGTAACAATGTTTCAACCAGAAATATAACATACAGTCATGATTTCAGAGGTGTTCGTTGAGTTTGCAGTGAGAATCATATATCTTTGGGAACAAAGGATTATATCTCACACATGTTGCACAGCTCGTGACTGTGTCTGCACTGCAGTTTGAGAAAGTTTATGTGCGTATTTCTCGGTGGGACAGTGCATTAGTGTGTCAGTGGTTCAGCTGGCACACTAATGCACAAGATTTTGTGCTTGCCTCATATGTCACGCAAAACATAGATTTTTTTATTTGCTTGTTTTGGTTTGTTTTTTTGCGGTAACACAATGCATCAAACTTCAAATCAAATGCCCTGAAGCGGATGATGTCACTTGTTCGCAACTTTGAAAGAAATGAGGAAATGAAGGAACACTTTGTGACTTTGATGGACAAAGTATTCAAAAGCAAACATACAGAAATTGCCCCTCCACTAGATGGAGAGATGGAAAGAAACATTGGTATCTGCTACTACTCTGTGTTTATCACTCCTGCAAACCCAAACAGCAGCACCAAATACGAGGGTGTGTCACTGAACCATGTGTTGTTAACAGGACCTGATCTTAACAACGTTCTGCTCTGTGTTTTAATGTGCTTCAGAAAGGAAGCTTTACAGCACTGACTCAAACTCGACTCATGGTGAAAAGAAAACACTTCTAGTTCCATTCCACCATCATGTTCCAATTCTTGAAGCACCACAACAATCAGGTTCATTATCAAGGTTGCTTGTTTACAGAAGGAGCTATAAGCTCTGCAGGATGGTGGATAGTGGGAGGCAAAAGAAAGGTGAGCACAATCATCTACAATTGTGTAACCTCCAAAAGACTTTGTGCTCCCCTGAGCACACAAAAAATGTCAAACCTTCCTCCAGACCGTCTTGCAATGAGCCCTCCATTCCAATTGCTTCCTTAATTTCTGTTCCTTTTTCCTTATTACAGTGTCATATAAATTATGTGGTTTTATCTCCAAAAAAGTAGTATCTTCTATTGCTACTTGTGCTGGAGTGAAATAATTTGTTGCTATCTCTAATTTTGCAAGGCAATATGAGAATATGACATGGCTGTGCTTTTTCAGCACAGACGGAAAAATGGTGCAGAGGAAAGAAAACAAAAAACATTAAATCCTGCTTAGTGCAGGGAAAAGCTTCTGAATCGCAAAGAAAACTGCACAAATTTACAGTACCTATTTTTTTCTCCAGAACTATATTATACTATGTGACAAAGGAAAGGCAAAACAACATGTTCATAGTTAACAGCTATGAGCAACATGAACCTAGAGGTTCTCATGAGGCTTTTAAAAACCTCAGTAAAATGTATTTTTTTTTAATTATTCAATAATAATGCCAATTTTCCTGAAAAAAGTTGTGTCCATCAGGCTACAATCAAATATCACACAGTCTTCAACGATGAAACGCCATGTTGCAACCAGAGCATTAAGTCCAACCACTAAATCCCAGCTGCTGCACTTTGTCAAGACAGCAAATCTCAGAGTATGACTGTCAACAGAGAAATTGCTTTGATTGCCCTGAGAGGATTCGAGCTGAGCTTTCATAGCTGCAGGCTTATGAAGACCAAATTAATGAACAGGAAAATTGAACTGAATGAGGACATAATACAACCTGACAGTGATGGCCAAATGAAGCCTCATGAAGCAATGAAGCTTCCAAGCCCTTTGCTTTGCCCAAAGGTTCATGACTCACTAGTGACATCTGCTGCTGAAACTGTGGCAGCCTTGTCACTCAGATAGACAAACTTCAAAACATTAGTAAATGCAGTATTTAACTGTAATATTGTTTAGTTATTAAAATGATTTGTAGCCAAACTAATCCTGGTATATGTTGGCCGTTGGTGGCTGTTTTCTTTCATGTCACAGACAGATTTGACAATAAAGACATTTGTTTTATTGGGAGTGCGATGCTTGTTGGGCCGTTCAGTATTCTTAGGTTTTGATTGCCTCCTGAAAAACTGAAATTCTTCACAGTGTCTCTTTTTCTTGGATTTCTAGTTGGGTCTCTGATCTGATCCCTTACATTTTTAGTCACCAGGACTGAATTTTACTCTTTCAACAGCTTTAAGTCTATTTCTGCTGTGCAAGACTGATATAGCTTTGTTGAAAGGAATAATGGACATTTCCAAAAGGTGAGAATTTTGGAGGTCTCAATTTAATTATTTTTATTTAAAAATCTTGTGAATGATCATCTGGAAGTCTTCCCACATGTCAGAAATATTCTTGCTGGATCCATTTCAATTAAGTTTCTTTGTGTAGAACATTCCAGCAACAATTTAGTTCAAAGTGCTTTACATCATAAAACACAAGAATTTAAAGTCATAAGATACATTATAATCAACATCTGAGAAAACCACTAACAAACATTTTGAAGAATGCAATCATCAAAATCATTAACACATCAATTCTGCTGGTCAATGTTGTTTTTATTTCAGCCACTGCTGAAGACAAATTCTCTCCTCTGATGTGTGACCATGAAGCAGCAGGGCTTTTTGTGCTCTCATTTTGAAAACCAACATGCAAAATGAAGCATGCACCTGGTTTTCAGCAAGAGGACACAAGCATCAAAGTGTGGCTTCAACTGACACGCCCCCTTTTTACTAGGTACACGCCTGGAAACCTGGCTTCAGATGTGTCAACACTACTACCTGATGAGATGTCCCTGAGGTCCAGGGAGAAAGAATTAGTGCCCTCTGCTGGCAAACACATAGACACTACAAGGAGTACTAAATAAGCAGTCAATCCAGGATGACTAAATAAATTGGAGACGGGAGTTTCCTGTGGTAAATGGGTCTGCATGGACAAAGTGGTAGAAAGATTTTGACTTTTTATAAGTCAGAAACAGAATCTATTTTCAGTGAAGTCATACATTATTCATGTGATTACATATAAATTAATTATTCTCCAAATAAAACACTACATGCTTACATGATTGGGTGGTACGGTATCTGGAGGACAAAACCAAATGAAGAATGATCAGAATGGATTACATAATGGCATATGGTATATTCACAAATACATATTTTAAGTAAAGATTTATATATATATATATATATATATATATATATATATATATATATATATATATATATATATATATATATATATATATATATATATATATATAAAGAAATCCCGAACATGAAAGCAGGCATCAGAAGGAAAGACGACTCACCAGTGTTTAGAATTAATGAGTATGCACACCAATTAATTGTTTTAATCATCAACCCACTGAATAAAATGTAAATGGTAATTTTTTTTCCAAATAAACATCCCCTTTTCATCTCACCTATATTCTGTAGAGAGCTTTACTCCGTGTTTGTAGTTCACTCCCCCTCACAGACACAGTGAACATTAATCTTCCTTTTCATTCATGAAAATATTTATTTTCAATTGTGTAAGTATTTTATTGAGATTTTAACTGGAAAGAGAATAATGAAAACAATGCTCTAAAGTGCAAAGAGAAGGAGAAGCAGAAAAGACGAGTGTTCAAGTATAAAAAAGAGAAACCAGTTCACTGCCTCCATATCAGTACAATGTCAGTTTTGTGTGCCTCATTTCTTTTGTTTGTTTTTTTATAAATGTAGCTTAGAAAAAATTAACATACATATTTCCTTTTATATTATTTAATAATGATTATCCTTGATGATTTTGATGATGGCATTTGACAATATGCAATGACTGTTGCTTATGATTAGTTATTGATTTATGTTTTCATTATGTAAAATGCTATGAACTGTCTCGCTGCTAAAATGTGTGTAAACTTAACCAATTCCACACTGGTATCATTAGTTTAATTTATTGTTTATTGCTACCACAAACATACAACAGACATCATATAAAAATAACATAGTTGCAAAATTAATTTTATGAATAAGCTACAAAGGAATGAAACAATGAGGAAATAAGGATAGTTGAAAAATCAACAAAACTGAACTGAATTTCTGAAAGCAAAAACTTCAACATGATTAACATGATCTATCTATCTATCTATCTATCTATCTATCTATCTATCTATCTATCTATCTATCTATCTATCTATCTATCTATCTATCTATCTATCTATCTATCTATCTATCTATCTATCTATCTATCTATCTATCTATCTATCTATCTATCTATCTATCTATCTATCTATCTATCTATCTATCATTAAGTGAACCAAATTGTCTCTCTCTGACCCCAGTAGATCAAATGAATGTATGTCTCCAGTACCTGAGTAGAGAAAGCAGACACCTGTCCTTGCAGACCGTACACACATCGTGCGCACTCCGTCCCGCAGTCTGTCCCAGCCACCAGCAACACGCATGTTCCCGCAAGCAACATCCACAGGCAGCTGCGCTGAGCGATCGCAGCCATCGACTGGAGACGGAAAATCACAGCAGTTATTTTCATTGCTGCTCTGATTGAGTTTCTGCCATGAAGTTCAGAAAACAGCTCAAGTAAACCACGAATCTGAAATATATAAACTGATGATTTAACAACTATGTGATGTTAGTATTGATCTATTTTCAGGGTGATCACAAGCGCTGCAATAAGAGCTTGAGATTACATTGAAATACTTTGTGGTATCAAATAATTTATGAGACTAAAGTGAAATTTGCTTATATGATGTTAATAAAAGTCTCATTTGTGTCTCATTTGTTGATACTGTGTAAAAAATAAACCCAAACCCGTAGCAAACAATTGTGACTGTAAATAAGGAAATCTATTTGCGTCTTACCTCTGATGGAGTGAAAACAAGTTTTTCTACAATTTCTCTCCAAACAGGGATGAAAAGAAGGCGGGAGATTTGATAAATCTGTGCATGAAACGGTTTCTAAACGAGCTGATCCACCGGTCCAACTTATCTCCAAAGAACTGGACCTCAGCGGGCAGCGGGTGAGCAGAACCTGCAGTGTTGCAGCGAGGTGTTCTCCAGCTTTTTAAACTACTTTCTGGGCCTTACGTCACCGAGCATAAAACTGCAAGGAGGAGACAAAATCCATGACGTTGCAGCCCGCTCACCTCCACCCCAGAAACCCCGCAGCGCAACGCAACGCAGCGCAACAGCGCACCGCAGCACGACCCTGTCCCCGCTTCTGTCCCGCATGCTCTTTAATGCTTTTACTGTCCCGCATGCTCTTTAATGCTTTCACTATCCCGCATGCTCTTTAATGCTTTCACTATCCCGCATGCTCTTTAATGCTTTCACTATCCCGCATGCTCTTTAATGCTTTCACTGTCCCGCATGCTCTTTAATGCTTTCACTGTCCCGCATGCTCTTCAATGCTTTCACTATCCCGCATGCTCTTTAATGCTTTCACTGTCCCGCATGCTCTTCAATGCTTTCACTGTCCCGCATGCTCTTTAATGCTTTCACTGTCCCGCATGCTCTTTAATGCTTTCACTGTCCCGCATGCTCTTTAATGCTTTCACTGTCCCGCATGCTCTTTAATGCTTTTAAAAGCATTAAAAGTATTCCTGACTTACAGAAATAAGTTAATTTTATTGAGCTACCAACAAAATGGCAAAATAACAGCTTATATTTATGAAGTCACAATTACTTGCATGATGAAAAACGCGAGGCACTTTTTGCTTTTGACAGAATGACTTTGTTTAGAGTTGAGCTCAGGGCCGGCCCAAGCATAAGCAAACCAGGCGGTCGCTGGGCTGAAGTGGAACTATTTGTTTTTTCAGTGATGAATTCTATGTGATAATATTGCTTACTTACTGACTGAATTTCTTCTTCAGTATGTAATAATATGCTGAGATTATATTTTGTTATAACAAAGTCACTGGTGGCATAATTCTTGACACACAGAGTCTTTACTTATAACACTTAACAAGGTAGGAGAACACATGAAGGAAGATCTTTGAATGTTCAACTTCACACAATACTTTTAGGCAGGGATGGCCAACTACTTTCCTCAAGAACCCCTGTATTGCCTGCTTTAGATACCCACCTCATTCAATTCACATAAATTGCTGGATTTCAGCATCAATGTCCTGCCCTCCCAAAGCAGATGGAGGGCAGGAGGTAAATGCAGCCCATTGTCTTCTGTTGATCCAGCATCAAAATGCCTAAAGTCTGTTGTTCAACCCATTCTAATAGAGAAAGATAAACATTATTTTCGTGTTATGATGGTAGTTGGTCACAAGGGAGTTAATTTTTTTAAAATGACCAAAAACAGAGGAGAAAAGTGGATCAACAATCTACGGCTCAAAGCAGGAGCTGCGTAAACTAATAATGCCTGAGTTTGCAGCACCACTTTCTAACAGAAACAATCGCATTGTTCCAAATTATTATGCAAGTGATATTTTCTCAGATTTTCTTAAATGGCCAATGACACAGTGGTATTCCTTGCAGCATGAGATGGTGCATTGTCGTGCATGTAGATGATTTTGCTACTGAAGGTACCGCTCTTCTTTTTGGACCTTGAAAGAAAGTGATCAGACAGAATGTCCATATACTTTGCTGAGGTCATTTTCACACCTTCAGGGACTCTGAATGGGCCGATCAGTGATTCTCTCACCATGATTTGGGCCCACAGCATGACTCCACCACTTCAGTGCTGACGTCACAGCCGTGTTGGGACGTGGTGGCCATCCACCACCAATCCAGTACTGCATCCATCTGGACCATCCAGGATTGCACAGCAGTCATCAGTGAACAAGTCTGTTCACTGATGACTTGTTCACTATTAGACAACCGTTTGTTGTCTACTACAACAAACGGTTGTATTAGACAACCGTTTCTGCTTGTGAGCTGGTTATGGGGGCCAGCTCATAACATGATTGCCCACCCCTGCTCTGGAGGATCCTCCACTTTGAGGCTCCAGAGGCACCAGCAGTTTCAAATAACTGTTTGCTGCTTTGTAAGGGCTTTTTAACAGCTGCTCTTACTCCCATGAATTTGTCTAACAGAAACCTTCCTCATTATGCCTTTATCTGTGCAAACCCGTCTTTGTTCTGAAACAGCCATCTTTGTCTCTTCACAGTACGATAACACTTCAGTTTTTGTTAAATATCTATTGTTTTCATACCTTGCACTACACTATCTGATGATTTTCATCAGCAGAGATCTTTTTCTTTCTCATCTTGCTTGAAACCCGTGGCCTGCTTAATAATGTGGAACATCTTTCTTAAGAAGATCAACCCAGCTCTTTGAAATTAATTGTATTGATTCAAAGAGCCCTGACACACTATACCATCTATAAAGTTAACAGCACATCAAAAAAATTAATCTTTATGACACTTAAATCCAATTTGTATAGTAATTTGAAATATGGCTTATATAAAAAATAAGTTCACCAATACCTAAATACAATGGAGTGATTCATAATATCACATTTTTATTGTATTACTTATTTGAAAAGTTATACAATAGAATACAAAATTAAAATGATTAAACATTTTATTATTAAAACAGAAACTTGTGGAATTACAAGGTACAGGCAGGTTTCTGACTGCTTGACACAGCTGAAACATTATACAACTCTTTACCTTGGCTTCATCATCCAGCTGAAGTCATTATCAGCACAAGTATAACAAACATGTTTTTAATTAGGAAAAGGAGTCTTGCTAACATCACTGAGGTGTTCAGCTTTTTTCAGCTTTTATTATCAAGGCCCCAATAAAGATTTGCCTTATGAAGTCTGTCATCTCTCTAGTTTGTGTGTTTGCTTAATGTGTACCAGTGCGTGTCTATGTACTTGCATTTGATACCTTGTCACTTTCCTAACAAATACCACAATGTGGGGATCAACTGGTCCTGCTGGGGCCCAAGGTTTAGGTTTAGAACTCAGGTGTGAATTGAATGCAAGTTAATTCATAGTGCTTGTAAAGATTAGACAGATGTACTTTGCGTGCATGTGTGTGAGTGGAGGGGTGTATATTTGTCTGTGTGTATATGATTTCTCAGTGAACGGTAAAGCTAGAATGGAGAAGGCACATGCATCCCAGGCAAATGTGCCTTCACAGATTGCAGAAAATTTTATGTGCATATTTGGAAACATGTAGAAGCCAAGCATGTTTGAAAATGGTGGTAAAACCTTTGAGTCCTCAAGTTGAGAAAGTCAGAAACTCCCTATCATGTTTGATTTCCTAAGAGTATTTCACTTCATTCAATGCAGAAAGTGGGCAAAAAATACACACACCCACACACAACACACACACACAGACTCACACATGCATAATTATGTATTGAAACAGGTTGTTTGATAAAACATTTTGGACCAAAAAGCAAAGCAAAAAGAAAAAAAAAAAAAAAAGATAATGATTAGAGAGATGTGCTGGACAGCGTGACTGGGGAGATGAGAACATTCAGGTGGGTGGCAGTGGCAAAGGGCAGTGGAAATAGTGCAAATTAGAAAATTACGTGTTATTTTCCTCTATTAGAGGTTTTGGAGATGAAATAAGGTAAAGACAATAAAGGACATAGATGAGGTGGAGAGACCCCACAATGATAGCAGGTATAAAAAACTAATTAGTTATGCGAGTGTAACAACTTTAGAAAATATGCTTTTATTTATTTTTATTATAATGTTTGAAATTCCACCAAATCCTGGTTAATTCTGAAGAATCTTATTTTTCTGTTATATTTTAAGAATTTTATTATTTAACTTATTTTGATAAGCACCAGTATCTGTACTGTCACCTTAAGAGAGCTTCTTATGACATCAGTACTGTACTACCTTCAGTTGGTGCTAGGCTGCCTGAGAAGAGGTAGGAAATTTTCTTTGCTTTTGGTTGAGCTCACATTTTATGAAACATTTGAAATAATTGTATGTACATGCAGCTGTGAATGTCTATTTGTTTTAATACAAACAGAGGAGCATTCTTTCTGACAAGTTAAGAACATTTTACTTAAATGTTAGGGCAAATATTGTTATTAGTTATGAGTTAGTCACAGGGTTTCTCCATGTGCTTATCTGCTAGGGGAATTCTAGCTCCTGTGAATGGAAGAGCTGCATGTTAAAAGGCATTTTTATTTCTTTTTGTGCAGGTATGTGTTTGGTTCTTTTGTTCCACAATGTTTAAACTGGTTGTATTAAGATCACAAAACGTCTGTGATATGTGATTATTTAAGTTTTTTTTTTTTTTCCAAGAAATCTACTTTTTTTTAAATTATTATTGTAGATTTATTTCTGAAGAACTAGAGTACTGTACTAGCTTCAGTTGGCGCTAGGCTGCCTGAGAAGAGGGGAATTCTGGCTCCTGTGAATGGAAGAGGCCTGCATTTCTTTTTGTGCAGGTCTCTGCCAGTAACCTGTATTAAAAAACAACCAGCAACTCCTGTGATCCGACTCCCTTCTTCAATTGAACACAACGCAGAACATATCAAGGTTAACCAGTTGTATAAGACTAGGTTCCCAGAAAAGAACTCTTTTAGTATACACCGGTTACACGAGAAATAATGTTACAGTCAAGAAATAGGACAGGGAAGTCATTTCTGAAAATGTGTCAAAACATACAACTGATTATTGTAATATTTCCTATTCCAAAGAAGTTGGTGGTCACAATGTTTCTTTGTGTGTACATAGACTCACACACACACAGCTGAGAGAGTATACAGGTATAATGAAATGCTTTAACAAAAATAAAACACATTTTGCATATATAAAATACTAATTAATACAATTTTCAATTTACAGCCAACAGACAAAATGGACATTTTAGCTGATGCAATCATTGCAGATAGCCAGGCTTATTTAACACACATACAAATAATATATGTTGTATATGATCTGAAGTCTTGAGTTATACAGTAATGTAAAAAAAATAAAATAAAATAAATACAAATTCAACTTTATGATAATCTGTATATTTGTCTAATACAATTTGATATTGTTGTATTTAATGTCAGTTTTAACAATGCTACAGTTAAACTGATATAAGTATAA